TATATATAACATTTTTAAGCCTCAAATTATCCTTTTTCAACTCATTCTTCAATTTCCTTAAAAACCTAAGTTATCCTCCCAAATTCTCTCAAGAAAAAGAAGAACTAGGTTCAACTACGAGCCTCTAATCCTTCAATCATTGTGGGTTTTTAACATCAATGTATTATAGTTTTCACCAATGGAGTCCTTTCCTCCATTGGGTTCAAAAATTCTCCAGTTCTACAAGTTATATTTTTCGATCAGAGTTAGGGTTTTATTCAATCTTCATGAGATCCTTCAAAGTATAACCTAATTAACTATTTTTATCCTTTTATGCATGACTTGAAGTAATTATATGTTTTAAAGTTGAATTCACATGAGCCCATGCATGATCCATGATTTTTGGACTATGCTCATATGATGAAGCTTATGGGCTATTAAAGGTGAATTTATGAAGTTATGCATGTTTCCGTATGAAATTGATATCATGAGTTAAGGTTGCTTTGATAGCAAAACATCATTGTTGTTGTTGTAAAAGATTTCTCACATACAACTCAAAACATGATCATGAAAGGGTTTCCTCACAAAAAGGATTCATAAGGTTGAAAGGTTTTTTCACTTAAGTTGAATTAACATTAAGGAATTATTCTAAATGAACCTATCTTGGATTGACTACATAATTTTGTCTTTCCATGGATAATAATATGAATATGATTAATGACTATTCCGTGTTATTTATGCTTATCACCGGTTGGACTAGTGATGATTACCCATGTACCACATGTTATATAAAGTCTTAGGCCTAACTCACACTCCAAAATGTAGCTCAAAATGGGGAGGATTGTCCAAGCCTTATAAGGACTCCACCCTTCTTATTAACCATCGATGAGACTTTTGTCATTCTTTGACACTCCACCTCACGTTTAGTTCTTAGCATCTTGTGCATGGGAAATTTTTGATTTTGGGGCCCCCAAAATCGGCCGAGACGGGCCCTACTCTGATACCACGTTAAATTAGGTCTTAAACCTAGCTCACACCCCAAAAGCTAATTCAAAGGAAGGAGGATTGCTCAAGCCTTATAAGGAGTCCACCCATCACCATCTATGTGAGACTTTTTTCATTCTTTAACACCAGAACTATGTGCCACTATAGGATTGTCTTAGATAGACATTAGCTAGTTGATTCACTTTAACTTATATTTATGGTTCTTACCTTGGCAAGTAAGGATATCTCTTTTCAGTGTGGGATAGACAATGAATTTCATGTTATAGATCACTTGATCTATGTCCGTCAAAGGTAAACTTCCTACAATAATGAACCAAGGCTACTTTCTAAAGTATCTCACAAGTATTTTTGTAAGATATTTAGCTTGCATTGACCATGATTATGATTTATGTTTTCTGACATATTATTTTGTGATTTAGCTTGGTTATTGCATGTCATATAAAGTCCCCTTTGCATGATTTCATAACTCTTATGCATTTGTATCATACTTGGTACATTCTATGTACTAATGCCTACATTAATTCACCAATTTAGGATCCGATATTTGGTACTTCATGAGGTCGGTATTTGGATAAAATAAAAATATTGACTTCATGAAGTCATTTGGATGAAATAAAAATACCGACCTCATGATGTCGGTATTTAGATATAGATGAAATAAAAATACTAACCTCACTAGGTCGGTATTTAGATGAAAGATAAATACCGATCTCATGAAGTTAGTATTTAGATAAAGTAAAAATACCGACTTCATTAGGTCGATATTTGGATGAAGAAAAAATACCGACTTCACGAGGTCGGTATTTGGATGAAATAAAAATATCGACTTTATGATGTCAGTATTTGGATGAAATAAAAATACCGACCTCATGAGGTCGGTACATGAATTTATTCCGATCTCATGATGTCGGTATTTAGATGAAAGATAAATAGCGATCTCATGAGATCGGTATTTAGATGAAGTTGACCTCATGCAGTCGATATTTGGATGAAGAAAAAATACCAACTTCATGAGGTCGATATTTGGATGAAATAAAAATATCGACTTCATGATGTAAGTATTTGGATGAAATAAAAATACTGACCTCATATGTGGGTATTTGGATAGGAATGAAACAAAAATACAGACCTTATTAGGTCGGTATTTAGATGAAACATAAATACCGATCTCATGAGATCTGTATTTAGATGAAGTAAAAATATCAACCTCATTCGGTCGATATTTGGATGAAGAAAAAATACCGACTTGATGAGGTCGGTATTTGGATGAAATAAAAATACCGATTTCATGATGTCAGTATTTGGATGAAATAAAAATACTGACCTCATAATGTCGGTATTCGGATATTGATGAAATAAAAATACCAAAAATAAAATATTTTTATTCATTTATTTTATTTAATACCGACGTCAAGAAGTCGATTTTTATTGTAATTAATTTTTTTCGCGAAAAATACCGACCATTTGAGGTCGGAATATTTTTTCCCTTGTTATTTTGACTAAAAACCAACTAGTTTTATTATTTTTAACAATACTGACCTCTAGAGGTCGAAAATTACCGACATCATTTGAGATCGGTAATGTTTAGGTCGGTATTCACTATTTTTGAGTATATATACTCGTGGCTAGTAGGTTCTTTTGGGCTATTATAGATTGGTGATTCCTCATGATCTCTTTGGCTATTGAAGATTGGTGAATCCTCATTAATATATTTCATATTTCATAACTTCATCATGTATTCATAATAAAAAAATCATGAATCATCCATGAATTCGTATGAATGTTATCAGATATATATTTCATTTTAATCAATTCTTTTTCATTACTTGCATCAAAATATGTTCATAAGGTAATTACATTATAGATTTCATTAAATTCAAATTAGTCACATTATATTTTAATTTTGTTCATTTATTTCATTATAGAACGACATCAAATTGTATACTCAATCAGTACTTTTACCCTTTTTTAGGAAATGTATATTATTTTTATATAAAAAAAATTTATAGATTAAAAAATAAATTAATATGATTTTATTAAAAGAAGTAGAAAAAACAAAAAAAAGAAAGCGATAATGTACGAAAAGAAGAGAAAAAATGATTATTTCTCAAAATTAATATTTTAAAGTAAAGTTCAAAGGTTTAAATAATTGGCATAATACGTAAATATGTGTTCTCACTTATTTCAATTCACATTTATGTTTTTCTTTTTTAGTGTCAACAAGTAAACATTTAAATTTATATGATATTGAATAAATAAATACATACGTATTCATAATATTATACATAACAATTCACATTTTATATAACGTTTTACCTTATATTATGTCACGTATAATTTATATGTCTATTTATGTACACTCAATTGTGGGGCATAAACAAGTTAAAGATATTATGGCTAAATAGTTTCTGCCCCTAGAAAACAAAAGGAGAGATGTAGAAGGTAGGGATGTGTGGGGTGAGGGACAGGAAGTTGAATGAGTAACAAATGGAATAATTAGGAAAGGTCACATCAATGTCACGAGACAAGTTTAATTCCCTCAACCTCCCATGCCCATAGACTATAACATGAAAAAATACTATTAAACAACTCTCTGACTTTGCTTTTATTACACTCTCTACGACCCGCCTCCGAAGCCTCTTCTCTTGGGCGACTTCACTTTCCTACTCTTTCATATATATATATATATATATATATATATATATATATATATAAACACATTGTGTTTTTAAAAAAAATATCGACATTTTTAATTTTATTTGGTATAATATGGATATAGGTTTTTATAGGAGCATTTATAAAGAATGTTAATTAAGTGTCGTTAAGAATATGTGTAATAATAATTAAAATATTATTATTAATTAATGTCACTAAAGATCTTTTTTGGCGCAGTAGTGTATACACTACTCAATTCAGAGGCGTATTTAGGCGGGGTTATCGTGTTTACGTGAATCCATGCTCCTTTTCCGAAATCATATATAGTAGTGTTATATTTTTTTAAACAAATATTTAAATATAGAAGTGTGAACTTACATTCGAAGTATCATATACTATCGTGCAATGATGATTGGGTGCACCTCTCTAAAGGAGGTTAGAAATATGTATCTCTTATCTATCTTTTTTATTTTCCGTTCTAAAATTGGGTAACACATCTAAGAGGTTTTGATGGATAAAAAATAATTTTAGACTTGTAATTTTAATAATTTTCAGTAATAAGAGCCTAAATGTCAAATCGATTAAAATTTTTATCTCAAATTTACATTTTTGTAACAGTACACCCATCATCTCAAAACTCAGAATACGACTATGCTACTCATGGTCATTTGTTTTGAAATAAACCGTGGAGCTTTATATAGACATTGCTATAATATAAAGAGAATAATAATAATAATAATAATAATAATATATATATATATATATATATATATATTAGAAGCAGAGGATTGTAGTCATTCGATTGTTTTATCCTGGAGATTTTTAATACTGAAATAAAAATTCAACAAAACAAAGAGATTACATAGTTTCAAATATAATATTGTTATTTCATTAACTAAATAATCTCAAGCAGTGTAACGAATTTCGACACTATCATGTATTATCTGTGATTGTGTACGTTCCACTTTATTTCATAGTAATACTACTTGTGAAATCAAAATATTCTTCTTTAATGACTATTCAATTAAATTATTATTTTTCTCGCCCTTATTTATATGAATTAATTTAATTGATACATAATTTTTTTAAAAATTAAAATTTATAGTTTAAAATAAGTTATATGTTTTTATATGAGTAAGAATAAAACAAATCATAATTTGAAGTTAAATTATTAGTAGTAAATATAAAAATATATTTCTTTTCAAAATTAACTTAAAAGAAAGTTAAGCCATATATTTTTTTTTATAATAAGAAATATCAATTATATTTATTTTTTTAAAAAAAAAAAGATAAAATGAGAGTGGATGATAAAAATAGATTGTCCTGTTGGTGGGGGATATTATTAAAAGGGAAGGGAAAATGTCAAATTAGAATAGCAAAGTTCCTTTTGTTGCGTTTGGCATATATTATGGTCACCACCATCTTTATATGCTTGTCTCCTGCCCCTTGTTACTACAAACATTCATCCCACCTTCTTTTAATTTTCCCCTTAAAATACCCATTTTATTCGTTTCCAAATCACACATTCATTCTTTCTTTTTACCAACATATTATATATGAAATCTCAAAAGAAAAGATAGCTGTTACTCCACGAGATCCAAAGCTTGACTTTCACCTGCCCCCATCACTAAAGTCGAGTCATATGCACTGAAACTGGAAAAAGAAAAAAAAACGTGCGTTTTCACCAAAGTGTACAACACTTTGGCACAGAAAATAGAATTAGGAGTACACAGCTATAACATCTAATTTCCCGTGGTTATCCTATCTCATACGGATGATTTGGGATTGATTTCCTCAATAATCTTTGCAGTGCTCACAAAGTATGGGTTATCCGTGGGTTCTAAAGTTACATAAAAATAATTATAATAATAATAATAATACTAATACATTAAGCTCTTGCTTCCATAGTTTCACCGGATCCAATCCCCATCAAATCCTTATAGTCTTCATAAACTTGTTTTATCCTTAAATATAATATGTGAGAAATTGCTTTTATTTTAACGTTAACAGGAATCAATCCTGATTTTTTGTTATATCTTACATCTTTTCTTTTTTTTGTCAGTACTAGAAGGTTATAGAGCTAATTGCTCTTTCTTTTGAATCGTGAAAGGTTATTTTCCTTGTTAGTATAGTAGGTGTAAAGAATATTTTGTTTCTGCTATCCCTTTTAGAAAAAAGAAGAAAAACAAAAAAGGTGTTATCTTAGAATAGGAAAATTCTAATCGTTGAAAATCCCAATTTTTTAGAGTTGAGTATTAAATGATGGTAGCTGTTATTTGCAGGTATTAATTCAAGAGAGAGTAGTTGTGAATGGCTTCATCTTCTTCATTATCATCTTACTCACCATGTGCAGCATGTAAATTCCTTCGTCGTAAATGCCAACCAGAATGTGTATTTGCACCTTACTTCCCTCCAGATCAGCCTCAGAAATTCGCAAATGTTCATAAAATATTTGGAGCCAGCAATGTGACAAAGTTACTAAATGAGTTGCAGCCACACCAAAGGGAAGACGCCGTAAACTCTCTTGCTTATGAGGCAGACATGCGCCTTCGAGATCCAGTCTATGGTTGCGTTGGTGTCATCTCTCTTCTCCAACACCAGCTCCGACAGCTACAGCTAGATCTTAGCTGTGCAAAGTCTGAACTGTCAAAGTATCAAAATGTAGGAGGAGGCACCACTCCTCATTTGATAGGAGGTGGAGGGAGAGATCATAACCAACTATTGTATCATCACCATCAATTTTTTCCTAGAGATCAGCAACAACAACAGCAGCAGCAACACATAATCCGCCGCACGTCACTTGATGGAGGAAGTAACAATTTTGATACAGGTGGATTTAAAATTTAAACTTCACTGCATAAAATTACCATTATAATATTTATTAAAATTGTAGTAATTTTTCAACTTTTTTTTTATAGGATAGCAGCATACAACATGATGAAGATCACAGGCAGGCACTATCATCAGTGTAATTATATATCTCGAGCATTTTATAGACCAATATTATTATTATTATTATTACATGCATTTAATTACTCGATCTAGAGTTGTTCATCCATTGCTGCTTTCACCTTCCTTAGTAATTATTGAAAAGAAAATAGTTCACCCACCTGCAGCTGGATAAAAGTTTCAGTACAAATATGGAATTGCACAAAGCAAAAATCCTGATCCGAATTGCAATAAATATATTCCCCTCTTTTCCATTTATTTGTACGATTTTGATTTGATATAAAATTTTAAAAAGTAAGAATTTTAAATCTTGCAATTTAATTCAATTTTCAACTTATAATCTTATCCCCATTTCCCCAAATAACCCTTAAGGGTATGCCATGAAAATATTTATCAGTTTAAATTAATTGATCTCTCTTTCAGTAATTCTATACAAAACTCGTCTCTTTAGTTTGTCATAAAAATAATGTTTACTTTTATATTTGGGAACTTTTTTTTAAAAAAAAATATTCTAATAAAATGCTTTTGTAATTATATAACTCTTCGAGTGACAGACAAAAATAAAGTAAACAAGTGTTTTTTTTAGTTTTTGTACGTACCCTTTGACTTGAAAGAATCAGAGGTTAAAATCTCAACTATGGCAATTTTGTATTTGTTTATGAATCTACTTGTTAAAATTCATGCTTGTATATATATATATACCCTGAATAAAGCAAAGATATATAGGTGATGATCCCAACTTAAGGGATTATACATAGAATCAGAGATTTGATGAGTTTCCCGTTTCATGTCTTCCATATGTGTTGAGAAGGAGTTGTTGAACACATTAACTAGTGAAGGACAATATAATTAACAATCAAAAATATTAAATCAGACACCTTTAAATGCACAAGTATTTAAGGAGGCCATTCAATTTATTTATTTTTAATTTTTTAATACATATTGTCTTTTCCTATTTTGACAGAGGCATTTTAATACATTTAATATATTTTTTTAAATTTAAGACCACAACATTTCAAAGTTTTTCCACATTTCAAAGTTTTTCCATTGAAACAGAATCAATCAAACAATTTCAAATGAATGAAAATAAATTTGTGTTTAGATATATGATATTTTTATTTAGGAAAACCGTAGCAATTTAGTTGATTCATTACCTAAACTCCTATCTTGTTAGTGGGGATCCGATTCTCCACGTTGTAATCTTCTGCTTTACCTCCAATTTTTTTTTAAAGAAAGTAAAAAATATTTTCAATTCATGATTTGAATACGCCGTATGGAATCTTAACCATAAACAAGCCTCAGATTCTCTATAAAGTATGATTTTGGGATTTCAAATGGTGATTTAAATTTTTTTAAAGGTAAAACTTGACTGATAAACTTATGTTTTGTTTAAATAAGTTTTAAATTTTGCCAAAAAAAAATTGTTTGGTGTAAAAAGATTATTCATACCACGTGAAATGATTATAAATAAATAATACTTTCTCCATTTCACAAAGAATGACATGGTTTGACTTGACACGGAGTTTAAGAATATAAAGAAGATTTTTAAATCTTGTGGTTCTTTATTAATGTTAGGCCAAATATACAAAATTGTCCTTTGATCTTGTGGCATTAAACATGTCATGTGAAAAGTTGAAATTAAAATATCACCAAAAAAAGAAAGTGATCATCTTCTTTAAACAGATAAAAAAGAAAAGGATATCATCAAAATATGTGCTTATCGATACGACATTGAGAATATTTCGATATCTTATGAAATATGATTTGCTTATTCAATAAAATTGTATAAAATTATGAAACTATAATACTTAATAATTTATACAATTTTCATATTTTAAGAAAAAATAAATATATACAATTCAAATTACATATCAAAATAAAACTTAAACTCCATATTATTTTGAATTCATATTATGATTATGTATTTATAACATATCTAAATGGGTCCTTAGAATTAGGGTTTTCATTTTTAGAAAGCAAAAGAAGAAAAGAACAAAATGTAGTCACAGTATGATGATATGTAGTACTAGTTTTGGTGCAAACTGCAAAGCAATGATGGTATTTTGCCCTTTTTGAACTGTAAATGTTGGCAGTACAGTGCAGGTAGGTCTCTTTTTTCTCTCTACGTACCACTTCAAACACCTGCACACGTTTGTCCTCATTCTTTTATTATCATATTATGTATCAAACTTCAACAACAATTGATACAATATATATCGAGGATTTTCTTCTTTTAGAAATACATTTCAGACATTGATTATTGGACCGATGAGTGTCCGGTGAATTATAAAAAAGATTTAATCAATTTTAACTTGCATATGATTCATAGAAAAAGAACAATTATTAGGCCAAAATGGCAAGTTATATAGTAGATGAGAAAATTTGAAAAAATGACTATTATGTGACATAATTATAATTTTGATATGTATCATTCATAGCTACTATTTAAGAATCTAAGCAAGAATAAAAAAATCCTCTCAACATTATTCGCCTCTCCATGTCTCTTTTTTTTTTCCTCTCTTCCTCGCCCTTCACTCTCATAGCATGTGTTAAAAATACTCGATTTTAAAATACATGATGGAATGAATAGAGTGCATTGTTTTGAAGTCAATTTAATAGCGATTTTTAGTTATATAGTTGTTGAAATCTTGCCTTTTTACACATATATAGTAACCTTTTCCTCAATAATATTATGTATAGTGATCATTTGTACAATGCACCCGATGACGATCGACCAAACTCATGAATGGTATCTTTTCAACAGTTGAGTTATTGATTCTTTCCTTTTGGCGACAACAATTCTATGGGAACATTAAAGATTAGAACAGAAACAAAGGGGCTCCATTAACAAAGTAACTGGACCTACTCTACTGCCCAACTTAAGAACTTGTCACTCTATACATTTCAAAACTCCGGGCTAGGGATGTACAAAATCAAATAGAAAATTGAACAAAATTGTAAATCGAGTTAAATAGAAAAAAAATCTCACTAGTAGTTTGGTTTGATATTGAAAAAGAATTCGATTATATTTGGATTGGTTTGATTTTAACTAAGAAAAACCAATCCAATATTATGTATGTAATTTTAAAATTTTATTTTATACATAAAAATATTTACTTTGATATCATTTAAAAGTATTTCTTATACTATTTCATAGTTTTTATCTTTTAGTATATTATTTCAAGTTTAAAACTTAGAATTCAGAATTGTACATTAAAGATTATAGTTATAAATATTGATAATTATGATAAAACTTAAATCAAAATCAAATTAATACTAATGCATAAAGAAAATCAATTCAACACTAAGAATGAAAATAATATTGAATATTATTTGTTCTTTAATTTTACATTGATTTAAACAATTAAAATACATAATATAAGTTTAATTTTCCTTAAATATTTAGTAATGTAACTAATACTTATTAAATTTATTTTAGTGTGATTTAGTAATTTTAAATTATGATTATTTTCATTTTGACTTTACAATATTTATTTTATATGATGATTTCATTATTATATTTATTGATTATTTTTGTGTCATCAATACTCATCTCATATTTTGTGTTTTTTTTATAAGTGGCAAATTATATAATTGTATTTTGGTTGGATAAGAAATATTTGGAGCACAAATTAATTATCTGTTTGTATGTAAACTTTATCGAAAAAATTTAAAAATCTGGAAAAATTCGAGGTTTATTAGCTTGGTTTGATTTATAAATTTAAAAATTCGACACAATGGTTTGGTTTGGTTTGTTATTTGAAAAACCCGAACCAACCCAAGGTTGAAAAATTCAAAAAAAATCCAAATTTTATTAGTTTGGTTTGATTTATAAATTTAAAGTTTTTACACAAATCATTTGGTTTGATATTTGAAAAATCCGAACCAACCCTGTCATGTACAGATAACACAAAAATATGTCTTTTAACTTGACTTCATTTTTATATCGAAAAAGAGTCTAAAGTGTCTCTCAATTATTTTAATTGGTACGAAACTATCATTTATCCACTTTTCAATCTCCAAATATCTATGACGCCAACCTTTTGATTCAGAAATACCCTCGATTTAACCACCTGACTCATATATTTCCTTATTTTTATCATCTCTCCGAAAGTTAAATAATTAAATATTTATTTATTATATTATCTAATTTGATTGGTCCAAATTTACTCCTCTCAAATAATAAATAAGAAAAATCACATGTAATAATTGTTCTGATACAATATGCTTGAAAATACTACTAAAAAATCATTTATTTCATGATATTTTTACATTGGCTTATTTTAAATCAATACTAATTTTTCATAACCGAGCTCATAACTGGGGTCCTTTTTTTTTTTTTTTTTTTTGTTTTGTTTCTGGATCCATTAAACATGTGAATATGAAGTTCATATAAAAATATTATTTTTAATTAATATAACATTTTCTAATAATTATTTAATTCTCTTGTTCATTCCCTTCTTTATTTTATTTTTTTTCGTTCTTAATTAGGATATCAGATTCATAAAATTGAAATAAACTTACATGTTCATATTTTTTAAAATTTATATTATTACCATGGTGAGGTTGGGGGGGGGAGAGGAGAAAAAAATTATTTTTATTGGTTAATTATGAATTTTGGGTATACTGATTTTAAACTATATTTTATCTAATCAATTATTTCTATATGAATGTCCTCGTTAATCCAAGAAGAAGAAAAAAAGAGGAAGAGAGAGGAAGTAAACAGGGGGCGGGGGAGGAGGTGATTTTCCTATGGAATCCAAAATTAGGTTAATCATATGAGCTCATATATTAAGTACTTTTAAATTATTTTAGTGAACACGGGCATATAATATTGCCCTGTCATCCACCATTTAAGTGTGGGTCATTAGAATTAAGGGCATTTTTTTGCGGAAAAATTACTTAAATAGCTATCTTTTGATAAATAATTATTGATTTTAGCAATATTTTTTATTTATTATCATTTATAGCAGTATATAACAATATTATGACAAATCTGTAATATATATTAAAAGTGAATTCTATATGCAATATATGTGTATTATAACTATTTTAAAATATATTATGTTTGTTTGGTAAGAAATTGACACATTATATTGCACGTGTATTAAAATGTGTGTAAATTTTTATTCATCAATAAAACTTGTATTATATGTGCTTTATATATTGTTCTCTGTAATATGTATGAAAATTGTATTATAAATATATTAAAAATGATCAAGTGAAAAGAAAATGATATTGCTATAAATGGTAAATAT